TATAAAATGCATGGTAACATAAATATTATGAAATAAATACATAAAAGTTATCTAGATACTTGTCCATTTTGCTGGTACAAATAAATTGTTATTTTTTTTTTTTTTATTTCTTTAGGATTTTTTAAGTAAAAAAACATAACAAAAAATAAAATTAGGAAGTTAAAAAAAGAAAGTTGAATTTACATAAACTTGGTGACTTTTCATTTTCAACTTTATCACTAATGCCAGTGAAATGGAAAAGAACTGTCTTCTATATACAAAATTTGTGCTTTAAAATTTAATTATGCATTTTTCTTAAGGCTAAATAAATAATTTTGCTTATCTCAAGCTAAAATCAAAGGATTTTTGTAAGTTGAGTTCAAACCAATAATTTTAATTAATTGAGCCTTGCCAGGTTGTATCATTTTGTTTAATCACTTATGTTATCACATGTCTGTCAATGTGATAGGAGTTATCCAAATTAATGACTAAATATCAGTCCAAAGTAATTCATTTATCAATAAGATGCAGATTTCTTTTAAAACCTCCGTTTGTGTATTTTTACCCTTCTTTAAAGACATTGTTTTGAAATTTTGGAAGAAGAAAAATTTCTAATTTTAGGATTTATGTTTTTTATGCTCTATTTTTTAGGGATTTACGTAACTCAACATTCTCCTACATTCTTTTTTTCACCCTTATCCAGTGTTTTCATTACAGAAAAAAAAAATGAGTGAGAATTTCTCACCCTTTCTCAAAAACAGGGTTAGATTTCAAAAAATTACGTGAGATTTCTAAAAATTTAAAAAAAAAAAAAAAAAAACATGAATAGACTTTTAAAAAGAAATATTTCTTTAGTTATAATACATTTTCAACATCTTCTAATTTTTAAAGCATTAAATATTTTTGCTGCATCATCATATGAAAAATGTTCTCTATCTACTTTTTCATCAGCTATTCTCGTTAGGTTGCTCAAATGCTTATCAGTCAATCTGTTACAATATTTTGTCTTAATCCGGTTTTGGGTGCTAAATGACCTTGCAACAGATGCTGAATTATTCGAAAAAACTTAAATAAATTTGTAGCATTGTGCACACACTTTCCTATTCTCTACATCAGCCAGCATAGGCTTTTAAATTATTTCTGCTTTAAAATCGTGAAATACGTTGAAGAAAAAAAGAAAAAGCATCGTGAAAGAAAAAAAAAGAAACGTTTTGCCTGGAAAAAGTTTGAAAACCAGAAGAAAAGTTTCCTCTCAAATTCTCTTTTTCCTCAATTACTAATTTAAAGTGTAGAAAAAGTGAGTTCAGTCAAACCTAGAGTAAGCCACGAAGTTTCAAGTACTGAAAAAAAAAATTTTTTTAAATATACAAATGAAAATAAATTATGAGATAACTTAGGATTATGCAACAGAGAATTTGTTTGCATTTTTTATATTTTGAAGTTGTTTTTTTTTTCAGCAATTGAAACTTCATAACTTACTCTAAGTTTGCCTGGACTTACTTTTTCTTTCTTTTAAATTTTAAGTTAGTAATAAAGGAGAATAAGCAACAAAAATTTTCTTCCCGGTTATGGCGTCCTTTTAATTAAGGTTAAGTGTTGCAGTGTAAAAATTGAGTGAAATTATGAGATAACTTAGGATTATGAGACGGAGAATTTGTTTGAATTTTTTATATTTTGAAGGGTTTTTTTTCAGCAATTGAAACTTCATAACTTACTCTAAGTTTGCCTGGACTTACTTTTCTTTCACTTAAATTTTAAGTTCGTAATGAAAGAGAAGGAGAATAAGCGACACAAATTTTCTTCCCTGTTATGCCGTCCTTTTAATTAAGGTTAAAGTGTTGCAGTGTAAAAATTGGAGTTTTTGTTATTGATTTAAAATAGTTTAAAATTGGCTGTTTTTTTAGGTTACCATTGACCGCCACCCTGTGAGATTCTTTGTTCATAAAAGGCCTCATGTGGATTTTTTTTTAGACATGGTATGATTGATTTTACTTCTTTGAACATTTTATTACATAATTCTTATCTTGTAATCATTTTTTGAAAGTGAAAGTATGAAGTTTTGTTTTAGAAAAAAATAAAGTTTAAATTTTAAACTTATTAATTACAACTGTTTGAAGTGGTTAATAGGTTACAACAGATTATTTTTTATATCACAATTGCTTGGCATAGCTGCCGACTGTACTGGATTTTCTAATCACTGACTGATTGCATTAAGCTCTTCTGGTTTGCGTTTACAAATTATCTTTTTTCACTTTATCTGTAAAAAAATTTATTTTCTTCAATTCACTGTTGTTGTTTTTTAAATTTAAAATAGCTATTTTTAACTATTTTATAGTTTGCCTAAAATATTTATTTAATAGTATGTTCTATTATATTTGCTTAATGATTCAGGATTATTTTAAACACACACATTTTTTTTAGATTCACTATTTTTTTTTTCTTTTTTTCTTTTTTTTTTCCTTTTCTCTAGTTTGCTGATTCTTTCTAAAAATGCCTAAACATGCATACTAAAAGCCTAAACCCATATAATACTAGCCTAAAGATTTTCTAAAATGCACTCCCTAAAACATATAAAAATCATTCAATAAAGCTTTAAATCCATGTATTAATTAAGATTGAGTTTAGGTGCTTTCTATTTGGATTTTAGTTGCTGATTAGCAGATCAGTCACTAACTAGTTTTTGCAAAATTATCTTACTAATTTTCCTGAGGTTATGTCTTACAGCTCAATCATTTTGAATTTATTCAAACTTAGTTGTGAATATATTTGTTACAAGTTAAAGGCACTATAATGATAAAGGATTGATAATTGTAAAATAGCCACTTTGATAATACTTTTCCATCATGAATTTTGATTGATAATACTTTTCCATCATGAATTTTAAAAGGTTATACAAATTAATTTAATAAAACTTTAAATCATTTGATTGATATGCTAATAAATAAAGTTTGAATAAATCACTGACTTATTTTTCAAAATTATAAGATATTTGGAGTTATTGCAGCTTAAAGCATCAAAACATAAAAGGTTTTTGTAAAGATAAACTTTTTTTATTTTAAATATGTTCCTGGCTGAATGTTAGCATAAACTGTTAGTGAAGCATGATGCTTTTGAAATAGTAAAATGTTGGTGTTATGAAAATAGTTAAGCTTGTAGCATTTGAAAAACAATATATAAGTATAATGACACACATTTCTTCTATAATATTACTCCTTTTTTTTATATAAAAGATCAATTGTTTCTTAAATGTTTATAAAAATTAATGAATAAAATAGAAATTAACAAATATTGTTACACGATATTGCAGAAAGATATTAAGGGTCCCCACTGTAATGCTAGGTGATGTAAGAAAAAAGCAATACGCCTTTTTACTGTATAAAAAATATTTGACAAAATGGTAACACTTTTTGTTTTAACGCTTACAGCCCATTCTGGTAATAAGTTAGACAAAAAGTATATCATTTTCTTTTGTTGTTTCTAATTGAATTTAATGAAATGTTTTTTGTTTATTTGTTTTATTTTATTTCTATAAAATGCATGGATGTTTTTTTAAGGATGTCGAATGTTGATGAAGACAAAGTACAATTTTTCTTAACATCTCAAGTAAATTACTATTTGATTCAAATATTTTAGCTTCTCTCTAATTTTCTCACTCTTAAATTTATTTTTATGTTGCCTAATGTCTATGATACTTTTTAATAGGCTTTATCAAAATTGATTTTCTTTTCGCTCTTTATACTAGAATTTATAATATAAAAAAAATTGAATTATAAGAAAAAGCAAATGAAAATATAACAGACACTGAAGCGTGTAGTGAATGTTAACTTTTTAAATATACAATGTTACCTAAACTTAATAAGGGGCATTAATGCGACCGGGACAAAAGAAACTGGATACGCTGTTCTTGTGATTATGCAATGGACTATCTTAAAATGCTAGTTGTTGATATATGTGTGTCCTATACCAGATTTTTTTTCTCCTTTCTTTCGAGTGAACACTTAGCAATTAACTTTTTTGTTATAAATTCTGTTATTTTTCTGGCTGCTTTTTCTTCCAAATGTACTTATATACTTATAAATTTGTTCCAGGTAAGCAAGTGGTATGACTTAGTGATTTTTACTGCAAGTATGGAAATCTATGGTGCAGCAGTGGCTGATAAATTAGATAATAATCGTGGCATCCTTAATAAAAGATATTACAGACAGGTAAAATTCTTGGCTTCGTTATAAGATTTATACGTTTACATGGTGCGTAGCGTTTTTAAAAAGTGCTTAAAGGTGCTTATTTTCGTATTTGAAAACCCTTAAAAGTGTTTTTTTATTGAGTGTTTTTGAAAAGTGTTTAATTTTCCCTTTACGAAATTTTTTTCTTTTTCTTTACCTTGTCGGTTTTCGCCATGTAATGCAAAAGCCTGCTTTTCACATTGTTCTATACAACGTTTTCACAATTCATTGAACCACCATCTATTTCGGCGAACTGTCGGTCCGTAGCGTATGGAAGCGCCAATCATTTTACATGTTTGAGGAAATACTTGGGAGTCCCCATGTGAGTCTACTTAGCTGGGTTCGGTGAGATTCTTGCACTCTCACATACAACTCTGCTGCATTTTTCAAGGTATTCTCAATTTCAGGCTTCAGTTTTCACCCTCTGATATCAAACCGAAAAATCTCTCGAGCATTTTAAATGGCTAATATAATCAAGAAATGAGTTCTTTGTCAGAAACTAGTTATTTTAGTATGATCATGTAAAGTCTTAGAAAATTATTTAGCATTTTTTTAATATATATAGTGCTTGAAAATCTTTTGAGTTCTTAAAAGGTGCTTATTGGTGAAAGATTTGGCTACGCATCCTGACCTATGAGAAAAGTTTGATCAGACCTTTTATATAATTGTATTTTTACTATGCTTTAACTTAACAATGTTGTAGAATTCCAGGAGTGCAGAAAATTCTTAAAACCAAAAAATTTTCCTGTTTTTTTTTTCTTCCTTTTTTGAAATTTTTTCCATTATTACTGAGCTTTTTTTATGAGTTACATTAACATTTTCAGCATAAATTAAGAAAGAAAAGTATGTATATTGCTAAAAAAATTTTGTAATTCACCAACAAATAAAAAACATTTCTTTATTTTTTTTCACACTTCTTTAATAAGCTTGTATATGTGTTAAAAAAAATAATAGAAATCACAATATATTGAAAGAGTAATATTTAGTAAAAAATAAACTTAATAATTAACTTCAATTAAATAATTAACTTCATAAACTTAAGAATTCAAGCTGATAAATAAAGAATGCGTGACAAATTTAAATATAAAGCTATCTGTTTTATATTTTATATAATAACTGAAAATACTCTCTTTTGATGGTAAGTTGATATGACATAAGGAATTGTTAAATATGTTAAAAATAATCTGAAAATGTATGTTTAAATGATGACTTTCTTTTCCTTCTTTTTTATGCCTTATTTTCCCAAATACTACATTTTTAATATAGCAACAAGATGTGACAATAGTCTGAAAGTCAAGTAGTCTTAATTTGTAAAAAAAAGTATCACAGTGATATCCGAAAGTTGTTTGAGACTAGTGCTTACTTATCAACCATGATTGAGAACTTTCCTTTTTCCCTGTGTATTCTATGAATGGCCTTTTTGTATGTTTGATTCACTTTGAATGGAATGATGATAAAAACCTAGTAAAAAAAAATTTTTTTTCACCTTGCTTGACTGTCTAAGGACTCTTAAAAGATTTGAAGCTTTATGAATAAGAGATGTATTCTGTGAAATAATTATTTCATAGAGCAGTCTGTGGTACTGAGTATTTCGATTTCACAGACACATAGTTTCTGGAACTAAAAATTTTCTTGAAATGTTAAAAAAAAAAAAAGAACTTAAGGGTTAAATAGAAATTAAATAAAAATTACTGAAAAATTACTTAAAATAAAAATGAAGACTTTTAAATAAAAATTGTCTTCAAATATATTTCTATTAAATTAAATAAAAAACTATTGGTACACTATCAATTTTACACGCGTATAACGTTCATGAAATTTAAAGGTATTGCCTACCTTAGTTCAATTATCAATGCTACTGACAATATTTCAAAAGAAATTAACTCCAGAATACCAAAAGGAAATAAATGTTTTTACTTATGCCGGTACTTATTCGAGAACAAACTTATTACTTAGGAAATCAAGTTGAAGATCTATAAAACAGTTATCAGACCTACAGTTATATACGGCATTGAAACTTGGACTCTAACATATAACGACTAATCTAATCTACGGAAGTAAAATTTTGCAAGGAATTTTTGGACTAATCAAAGTGAATAATACGCAAGGGAGAATAAGAAACAAAACTGCGTTTGACCATTTAATCAGACAGGAAGGGGAAAAAACATATTAATTTATAAAATTCTGTCATTTGGCATGGCTGCCCCACATTGAAAGATTAAATGATAATAGAAATTCAAAAAAACTTAAATTGGAGGCCGTTAAATTCGATACCCAGAGGGAAAATGAATGGGGGGGGGGAATGGTTGTTCAATACTACCAAATATTTAATCTCCTTAGAAAAGCCTGAAAATTAATTAATTTAGTCGAAAGTGTAAGATAGAAAAAAGCTTGGAGCGATATTGTTCAGAAGGCTAAAGCTCACAGCAGGCTGTTGTACTGTAAAGTAAGTACAGGGTGGCCACCCACCTGGAAAACCTTGTAAACCTGGAATTATCAGGGAATTTTTTTATACTGGAAAAAACCTGGAAATATCAGGGAATTTTAAAGAAAAGCTGGAAATTTATCTTTGATAATTTTTTTAATTTCACTAATTTAAATTACTTGCTAATTTTCCTAATTTAAATTATTTCATCAATTATACCTACTTTTTTTTAACGGAAATGTATCGCCAAACAGTCGAAATATCATCAACTTAGCAATACTTTGCTTGCATCAAAATTTGCTCCATTATAGTTCTGTTAAACTAGAATGCCATATAAAATTCTCCCACGGTTGCTAAACAAATGTGGAAACCTTTGACCGCTATGGGAATTTAGGAAAATTTAGAAAAGATTCTGGTGGAAAAAGGGATTAGGATATTAGCTTCTGTTTTTAAATTCTGTCATTGGGCTGAATCCATTTATGGCTCAAGTTTGTTCCGATGCTTTGGTGGTAATTTTTTTTTCTCGATTTTGACAAAATGTTTTTGTATTTTTGACTTTATAAAATTCTCCAAAAATTAGTTGGTTAAAATTTTATGATAATAGATTTTATATCGCACTCTTTTTCTTTTTCTACTCCCATTCAAAGAAATCTGTGAATTATTTTTTCTGAGCAAACCAACGAATCACACATTTTTTTACAANTTTTTTTTTTTTTTTTTTTTTTTTTTTTTTTTTTTTTTTTTTTTTTTTTTTTTTTTTTTTTTTTTTTTTTTTTTTTTTTTTTTTTTTTTTTTTAATAAGTTATATTAAAATTTTCAAAATAAGTTTAGAAAGAAAAGTATGTATATCGGAGAAAAAAAAATTTAATTCTCCAAAAAATGAAAAACAATTCTTTACTTTTCACACTTATTTAATAAACTGGTATATGTGTTAAAAATAATGGAAATCAAAATATACTGAGATAGTAATTATTCGTAAAACTAAATTTACAGTCTCACTTCATAAACTTAAGGAATTCAAGCTAATAAATAAACAACATGTAATAAATTTTTATATATAGCTATTTGTTTTACATTTAATATAATAACAGAAAATGTTATTTTTAGATGGTAAGTTTATCAGGGTTCCCACAGGTCAGGAAAAACCTGGAATTGTCAGGGAATTTTATTTTAACTCTAAAAATCAGAGATAGCTGCAATTTTTTTACAAAAACCTGGAAAATAACCAATCTTAAAATTGTCCGTAACAGTAATCAGCTATTGAGATTTGAGTTAAATAAATCTGAAATGTATTACAATTATTTGTTGTAAAAATTTCACATTTTAATTAAACTAAAATGTTCTCACCTCATTTAATGATATTTTTTTGCTCAGAAAATCTAATCTTTCACATTACAAATAAAAGAATCTAAAGTTTTCTAATGAGAATATGGTGTAGATTTTCATTGAAATTTACAGGGCTCGAAAAAACTCAGAAATTTTACCCGTCCTCGAGGACGGCTTGTCCAACAATGTACCCGTCCTCCTTTGAAACTAACCCGTAGCCTCTAAATAAATAAAAATATAATTTTCTCTTATTTATTACTAACATTTATATAAATTGCACAATGAATTAGTAGTTACTAGGATTACAAATACTAGGATTACATTATACAGTAATAAAAGAAATACTAGGTTACTAATAGCAAAACCTAGTATTTCTTGTATGAAATAATTTATTTCTTTTAAGAGATAATTTAAATGACAAAGGTCAAGTTATCTGGAATGTCAATTTATTCGAGGGTACTGTGTTTTTTAAATGAATCAAATATTATGTTTGCCAGTTCCACAATCAAGCTAATGATTTACAGAGGCTTCTGCACAGAAATCTGAAAGGGGTTTTCCATTTAGGTAGATGTTCATAATTGTGTTTAACTCTTGTTTAAGACCAGTACGTAATGTGTTTTTTTGTAAGTTCATTGCTGAAAAGCCTCTTTCAACCGCTGCAGTGCTCCCAGACAGAGAAAACATTAATTCCACCATGCACAGTATGTTGCTGTATTTCTAGATTAGAGGGTCATTTTAGAAGTGAGACGCTAGACTCTTGTAAGATAACAAAAATTGAAAGTGTATCACGAACATTAACAGAAAAATGGCCGTCCGCGCGGACGTTGGGTTCGAGAAATTTGTTGTCCACAAGGAATTTTTGACCACCGAGGCCGGGTGGTTTATCGAGCCCTGGAAATTTACCTGGTGTACCTAAAAGAGTCAGGGAATTTTTTTTTTCTGAAATTGAGTGAGAACCCTGGTTGATATAACATAAGGAATTGTAAAATATGTTAAAATAAACTAAAAATGTATATTTAAATGATGGCTTACTTTTCCTCCTTTCTAATGCCTTTTTTTTTCCTAAATACTACATTTTTAATATAGCAATAAAATTTAACAATAGTCTGGACGTCTAGTAGTCTAATTTGTTTTAGCCAAAAAAAGAAATCACAGTAACATCCGAAAGTTGTTTAAGATGTGTGCTTATTTATCAACCAATTATTATTTATCAAATGACAACCTTCCTTTTTCCCTGTGTATTCTATCAATGACCTTATTGTATGTTTGATACCTTTTAGGTGATAAAAATCTAATAAAATGATTTTTTTCACCTTGCTTGATTGTCTAAGGACTTTTAAAATATTTGAAGCTTTATGAATTAGAGGTGCATTCCATGAAATAATCATTTCATAGAACAGTCTGTGGTATTAAATATTTCAATTTCAGAGACATGTGACAGAGAGTTCTGGAACTAAAAATTATCTGAAAATGTTAAAAAAAACTTAGGGTTAAATAGTTTTGCTTTATTTCACATTTTCATTACTTTCTATTAAAAGTTTATTTAAGAATTTTGAAGAAATTGAAATATGAACTATTATTAATGTTTTTCTCTTGTTTTTAGCATTGCTGTGTACGCTATGGCAGCTTTAATAAAGACTTATCTGCAATTACTCAGGATCTTTCCAGTATATTTATATTAGATAATTCACCTGGAGCGTATCGTGCATATCCAGGTATTTATAGTAGCGATTGTTTTGGGTTTTTTTTTTTTTTCTTCATTCTTTTATTTTGTTGTTTTGGTTTTTAATTAATCATTTTTTATCTTAAAAATCGTTTTTATTGTGTTATATTTTTATAAGCTATTCTTTATTTTCTGTTATTGATGTGCAAAGGCATTGTAAACTTTTTATAAATAAGAAAAACTTTCTACGTGCATGTACTGCTGGTAAAATAAAAATAATGTATAACCTGAAAAACTTTTGAATTATCAGATACTAAAGTGCAAATGCTGTTCTCATGAAATCAAATATGCTGCTTTACTAATAATAATGTAAACGATATTTTATGATACAAAAAACGATTTCATTTCTTTGATTCATGTTTAAAAATTGAGATTTATGAACCTCAAAATTTGTACCTGTGTTTGTTGGATAAAAAAAATATTTTTCAAAAAATCTGTCTGTTTCTGTCATTGCTAAAGGAAGGAAGGGTGCTTAAATTTTTAATTACAATTCCAGAGAATGGTTGTTCTCAAAAAGCATGCAATTATATATTGTTTGCTAATTTAAATTGCTGATCCAGTTTATTCCACGTAATTAGATAAAATACGAGTCATGGTGGCTCAGGTGATAAAAGTCAGGATATTCTAAAATTAAGCTAAAAAGTCAGGATTTTTCTTACATATTCATCATAATAGGAAAATAATTTAAGAAAACTATCGTTCAAAGACTGACAGGCAAAAATAAAGTTTCAAGGAAAAATTCTGTAATTCAAAATATGCTCATTTCCTCATAATAACATTCCTCTTTTCCTGGTAGGACCTGTCCTGTTAGTAATTTTCCTCCTGTTTATCCAATGATAAGAAATTTTTTTATAGGGTTGCTAGGCTTATTGCTCTTTGTGTGAATAACTAGTTTGCAGACAACAGTAACTGAAACAACAGCAGAAAAAGCAAAAAAGGAATTTTTACTGTATAGTGATGCTGCCAAAAAAGAAAAGGAAGAGCAAAAGAGTTTCTTAGAGTTTAATCCACAGCAAAAGAGATTAGATTTTTAAAAAAAATTCGAAACATTTGCACGGAGAAAAACATTGAAAATTTTTGGGAGGTTATAAAATTTGTTCTTATCCTCTCTCGTGGTAACGCAACAGTCGAAGGGGGGTTTTCAATCAATCAAAGCTTATTGGTTGAAAACCTCAATGAAGACTCTATTATTTCATAAAGGCGTGTGTATGATTATGTTTCATTTATAAATGGAATAAATAACCTAGACATTAATGAAAAAAATGCTAGATGCTGTAAAAGGATCTAGAACAAGATGGAGACATGCATTAGAAGCCAAAAAAGAAGAAAAACGAAGAGAATAAAAATGCTGAAATTTCTAGAAAATGAATGAAAGAAAAGAATTTGAAATTAAGAATATCTAAATTGACGAAAACTGCTGCTACAAAACTGGATGTTCTTGATTCAGAAATTATCAAACAACAAATTATGTTGAGAAATATTATATAACATAGGAGCCCCTGAGTTTCTCCAGAAGCTTACAGTATTACAGAAATAAATATAAAAATACTGAAGAAAAAAAAAGATATTTTTAGATTTTATTTGTATATAATTAACTTTTCTTGACTTTTATACCTTTTATATTTCAATATTACCTTTTAATAGAAAAGTCAGTTTGAAATGAATTGGTGATTTTTAAAAATTAATAGCTTAATGTAACAAATGTTCTTGTATATTTTAAGAATTAATATTATTTGAGGATACTTATACATATCTTGCGGATTTGATTAACCCTTTATATCCTGACGACACTCATGCATTTGGTTCCACTTAACATTAAATAAAATAATCTTTCCATAATCCAACAGATTTTCTTGATCTTTTTATTTAAATAGTTTTCGTATCAAACTACAAAAATACACTAAAAGTTTAATCTAATCATGATAATTTAAAATATGTTTCACAAGTTTTTTGAAAATATAATTTGGGATATAAAGTGCTATTACATAATTCCACTTTAATATATAAGTGTTTATCCTATTCAATGTATGATACTTATGACTAAGTAGCATATTATTACTAATTGAAACTGCAATGTTCAAAGTTTCGTTGGAGTGGGAAACGGCAGGTCAGGAATTTTATCAATAAGATGTCAGGAAAAACCTGCAAAAGTCAGGATATTGTTTTCTCAAAATAGTGTAGGAACCGTGATGAAGTGAACCTAGTTCTAATCCCAGTGATGGCTGGTTCATACAAATTCCTCAACCGGCTCATACCAACTTAAGTGCTGGTTTAAAATATTCTCAATGGTTGGCAGATCATGAGTTTGATTCCCCTTGCCATTAAGCTAACTGTGGGTGGTTTTTGTGGTTTTCCTCTCAGTGTAACACTAATGTCGTTATTTTCATCTAAAAGTCCTCTATGAAGACAACTTTCTTTCTCTTGTCTTCTGGATTGAGTTCAAAATGACAGGGCTATGGAGTTGAACATTAATAGTAGTAAACCCAAAATTGGGTTGACTGTTCAACTATGGTTATGAAATATTATAATTAATAAAAATGTAATAGGATTAATGCTTATTATTTTTGTTAAATTTTATATTGCTTATAGATTCAGCTTTTTAATGCATTTTAAGTATTAAAAAAATTAGTTCTTTATAAAAATTCTTTTTTTTTCTTAAATTCATCTATGAAATAAAAGAAAAAACTCTTTTTCTCTACACTGGTAACTAAAATGTTGCTTAAAACAAAGAATATTATTTAAAACAATCATTTTATTCTATATTAATTACAAAATTTTCATGTGCTAATTTGTGTACTATATAACGATTGGATCTTTTGTAGATAATGCTATTCCAATAAAATCATGGTTTTGTGATGCAAGTGATACTGCACTTTTAAACCTTTTACCAATGCTGGATGCCCTAAGATTTACTAGTGATGCAAGATCAGTTTTAAGTCGCAATCTACATCTTCATGGTTTGTAAATAAAGTAAGTTCTTACCAGTGATACTTTTTTTTTTTTTTTTTTTTTTAAAAATCTTAGTTGGGATTCATATTCTCTGTGTTTATACCGTTATTTTACCATTGGGATGCACAACCTCATGCGTTCAATGATCAGTATATAACACTCAGCCTTACTATTAAAAATTAAGTAACGCGTTCAGTAAATTAAGTACAGTAATTAAGTAAGCAATTTATATTCTGTAAAAAAAAATTACAAAAATAAAATTGATTTTCTCAAAGAAAGTTGAAAAAGCTGATTTAATCTAATTTCAATCACTCCAACCTTATATGCAGTGCACAAGTTTGTGATCAGAGATCTACAGTGAAGGTTTTTCGAAACAAATTTAATTAAATGACAATAGTTTTTTTTTTATTATTATTATTATTTAATGCATCAAATCTATTATTCAGTCAAAGTATGAAATTGATTTAAGCACATTTTAGGGAGAAAAAAACTTTAAAATAATAAGTTAAAATGGAAAAGCGTATATAGACTTGTCCTTATTAGTATTTTCTCAGAGTACTTTTGACTTGTGTTTTTTTTTTTTTTTTTTTTTTTTTTTTTTTNATTTTTAATTTTTTTTGTATCATTGAATTTTCATCTTTATTTCAGTATTTGAATTTTTGATTGCATTTTCTTATTTAGTATATCCTTTATGAGACCTCATGGCACAGTCACTTTCTGGTTTAACCTCTGACTACAGATAGGCTCCAATATGTTAGCAGACAGTCTGTCCCCTAATGACAAGCTGTTTTTGCTAACCTACATACTTTTAGAATTCCGTTTTGCCTGTTTTAAGTTTATGACTTTTTATTTAAATTGTTTATTAAATCTATTATCTTACAATACAAACCTTTTTATTTGCTTTTGAAAATTGTTATTACCTTTTTGCATTGTTATATTAGCCTAAGTAATCCTTAACCAATTTTTGCACCTCCTTTCAAAAAATAAATTAAGAGTGTTTTCTTTTCCATGCACCTTTATTCTAATCTGCAGATAGCAAGGTTCTCCAGTAGTGTAGTGGTGCTTTTGCACTTGATAATCTGATGGGACGAACCCTGTTAGTAATGCTATATCACAGTGGTTACCAATAGGAGGGTCGCATCCGTCCCACAAGCCTTTTTTTTGGGACCTGCAAACTAAATATATTAGTTGTCATTTTTTGCAGACAATTTTCGTAAAAAAAATCTGTATTGGTTTAAAAAAACCTAATTTTTTTCGTTTCTATGAAATTTAACATACCAGCGGCGCAAAAAAATTTTTTTCTCAGGTTTTGCATCCAAGAAAATATTTATTCAAATACAAAAATAATCTTGTATGTTGCTTAATAATCTACTTCTCATTTTAATTTGTAATTCAATAAGTTTGTACAACTTGATAAAAATCGATAGTAATATTTAATGTTCCTTCAAGCATAAAAAAGTCCTATATTAAATTTTGATAAAGCTGCTGCCCGTTATTTGACTGGTGTATTTAATTGTGACCCCCGGCCTCATAAAAGTTGGAAACCTCTACTATATCAGTTAAAAACAGACCATCTGTTATTATTACCTTGTTTTTGAAAGTTTATGATGGATTTATTGTAAAGCTTTTGTCATACCCTAATCGTGCTTTTTGTTTTTTCTTTCAGTATTATATTAATGAGGAAATACAATTTTACTGCCAATATTGTACCACTTTCAATCATGAAGCCTGCGGCTGCAGTACAGCACAAAGCTCAGTTGATTTGCTGAGAGTTTTATTTTCATCTTTCACAATCATAGTAATTCCTGAAAACTAAAAGATTTGGCATTGGACATGTACATATAGAGCTCTCTTTCTCTCTCTGTAAAATATTTAAATTATATTCCCAATCGCAGTTAGTAACCAACAATGTTGGATGTGTTATTAATTTATTTAAATTAAGCTGGATATGCTATCACTATTTTTTGAATCAGTATGGTTTAGTAAAAATTAACTTATAAGGATTTTTTTTTTTTTTATTAATATTATGGTTGAAATTTAACTATATTTTTCTTCTTATACATCTTTACTCTAATGTGATTGTGGATTGAGAACAGCGTGAGTTAGAAGTTGTAGATTATTTTGTATAAACTATTTCAAAAATAAAGTTTGAATATTTAAAAAAAAAAAGTCTGACAATTATATGCTCGTAAATTTTGATTTTAGGATAAGTAAAATATTTATTTGATTATTGTTAAAGAAAAATTTTAATTGTATCTACAATTTGCAGGATGCAATTTTTTAGCTGTGTAATACAAAAGTATGCTTTATTAATTATGAGAAGTTTCACCATTTGTTACAAATCAGATTTAAATGGTAATTACAAATTGTACATTTGTAGTTTAAAAAGTCTGCAGTAAGGTTTATAAATCTTGAAATTATTCCTTAATATTGAATTTTGTTCAAGAAAGTGCCATTTAAAAGTTTTTTTAAAATGGCTTTTTATAAAAATTCTATTACAATAATAATTATCTCTGTTATTAATAATTATCTCTCTCCAATGATTTATCGTTTCATTGTAAGAAAGAAGGAAAAAAAAATTTTTTTATTAAATTTTAATTTGTCATTTGGCACCGGTGAATAAATTTGTTAGTTTTTGTTGTTCTTGTAGTAAATCTTAACTCAGTTAAATCAAAATAAGTTGTTTTTCCAGTTATAGTTCCAATATCCCTTATATTTATGCAAAATTAATACTTGCAGTTACCATAAAATTTTATTTAGCAAAAAAAAAAAAAAAAGATTTAAAACTGTTTTATTCTACAATTCTCATTTTAATCATTTTTTTTTTAAATTATAGTTATGTATTTGGAGCTCCTATTTTATTTTAATGATCCTATTACATTTTTTTTATTTATCCTAATTTATTGAAATCATCTATCTAGATTCATTCTTATTATAATTAATTAGATGTTTTTATTTCTTTATTGCTGCATGTCAATATGCAGAGATGCTGCTATTATTAATCCATATATTTGAACAAAATTGATTTTTTTTAATTCTTTGAACATTGAAATTTTTTTCACTTTCTTTCAGTACATTGTTGTATTAATGTAATTTATAAGAACTTGATAGCTGTTTAATAATTATACTTTAAACATAAATTCTTACATTATATTTCATTCTGCGTAATTTTATTTGCATTTTTTCAAAGTTTCAACTAAAATATAATGTTAAAAAGCATAATGGCACCTTTAAATATTATTGATTTATGATTATCAGACAATTATATTCAGCCATTAATTCTTACATTAATAACATGACATATTAATGTAATTATTTGTGAATGCTGATCATTTTTTTTTTTAAAAAAATGCCTTTCAATCCAAGTATTGTTTTTACAATACAATAAAAAAAACTTATCTACTTAACTAATATTGAATATTTTATTTAACTAATTTGCATTTAGCTTTGATAATGCAATGTGCCCATCAAATTGCCCTTCCATCAAAATTTTTGCTTTTTTTTTATATTTCCAAAACAATTTAATGGAATATTATTGTTCTAACACTCCATCAAAATTTTGTTTTCAAAGTTGTTTTTTACTAACATTAAATATAATTGTTCAACAGAGTTAAAATATAAATACTGTCAAATTTATGGTGGTTGTTGGTAACTTTTTAAAACATGTTCAACGATGAATAGTTTAAAAATGAAGGAAAAAATCTTTAATGTGATCTCTGTTATTGCTGATTTTTGTACCCTTAAAATTTAGAGAAAAATTTATTATCAACTATACATCTTTTTCTTGTGATCATAATGTGAAACTAAGAATATATAATATAGTTTAAAATGCTTTCCCATTACAGAAGTGTGGTGTCACAATTTACCATTAATTATTAAAATTTTGAAGTCAAGATTACCACCTTATGGTTGAGTAATAAAAAAATGTCGCCATAGACTGTTAAAAATATTTTTTTTTTTTTTTCCCTATTAGCTCCCAAAAATTTTATTATTAGCAGCAAATATTTGTGAAAAAGTGACACTTAAGTGTCTTTTTTTAGTAAATTTATGCATAAATAGGCACAAACTTTTATGAAATATATAACACCTTAAAATTGCGCTAATCTGAAGTTTGTTAACGTTATATGTGTTATTGTATTTCTGATTACTGATAGCTAGTTTGGAAAGTTAACGTTTCAATTATTATCAAATATTGTGTATTTTAGAGATTATGTTAAAAGAACTAAAATATTATAATTCAGGACCTCTACTTTTATTATGTTTAAAAAAAAAAAAAATTTTAAATCTATAAGTGTGATTTAAAATTTTTTTTTTTTTTTTACCATATTTATTACAGTTATTTGTAATGTTTTGTTTCAGCAATTGTTTAAGACTTTACTATAACATTTAAGGAATTTTTAATTATTATCCCTTATTCAGTTAAATTTTTATAGTTAAAAATTTTAAATGTTTTAATCTAGAAAGTAAAAACAAAGAAAAGGAGATGGAATCTTGATATTTTTCTTTCTCTGTTAAGTTTTTGCTTATTGTTCAGATAAATATGGAATTTTATGAAAGTGTACATACTAGTTTTTTTTTCTTTTCTTTTTAAAGTAAACGTATTTCCCAAAGATAATTATGTAGGGCTTTGTTCAGTTCCTGTGTTGATTTTGTACATTTTATAATGGGAATGTTTTCTCTGATGAGTTGTGTATAAAAATGGTGCTGATATTTTTTTTAACAAAAAAATGCCTACTTTTTGTACTCAGTTTTATTTATTTCATCAACTGCATTTGATTTTATGTATTATGGAAGTGGCATGTACTTATTGCTTTTTCTTTTTAAAAAAATGGGGGCTTTGCTGTTGATTTCTACTTGGTTTTTTTTTTACTTCTTTTGTTGCAAAAAAGTCTAAAACGTACGTATATGTCTGCCTATATATACATGTAATGCAGGTTTGTTTTGCATATCTGTGATAGAATTTCATCCCATTCATTTAAAAACCTTCCTGGTAATTAGTACCACAGTAGAGTCTCAGTTATAAAATATGATTGCGATAACAGCATAGTTGGTCAAAGGTGACCTTAAAATATAGCATAAAAGAATTATCTTTTATTATTAATGGTGTACAGTTACACTCTTCCAGGATTGTCACTCCACAGAGGAAGCCTGGAAAATACAGGGAATTTAAAAATCACCTGAAATAACAGGAAAAGTGTGGGGAATTTTTATTCTTTCTTTACAAACAAAAATACGGGGAATTTTGTTTCTTAAAAGATGGTGACCACTCAAAGTGTAATCTATGGGATATTTAAGGATAATATTTCAGTTATACTAAACTATTTCATTTACTATAGCTTTATATTTTTTTTCCTTTAAGTTTTCCCCTCAATTAAAATTAGTATAGTTGGCCCAATATAGCTGACACAAGAGTACAATAATTGTGTTCCTTCTTAATATATTGTGTATAATATGTGCAGGGAAAACACAAAGAATTGAGTGGCAACCTACTTTTGATTGTTGCATATGTCCATGCGTTATAGGTTGTTTATAAATACAGGGTATGTTCTCAACATAAATATCTGTACTTTTTTTAAGTGTTTCTTAAGTTGTGTTCACTATAAATTTTCTTGAATCATTGATAGCCGTGTATTATAGCTTCTGCCCAAACTGTTAATTGCTATAAGAAGAGCTAGTTGATAATGAAATGAGAAGATGTTATTAACTCTTTAGTTATGGTTAAGTTTTAAAAAAAAAAATTTTTAACTTTAAAGTTCCTTAACTTTTTAACGCAGGTTATGACAGTTCAATGTCCCCCTTTTGCTGTATAGCTAGCAGCTAAGCAGTAGCCCGACTCTTCCCACGCTCAAGGAGGCTACATTTATGCAACTACTGCCACCCCCCAACGGTTGTATTTAAAACTGAAGCACTTACTCTTTTCATCGTCCCACAGTGGACTGATCATAAAGACGGTTTACTGAAGTCAAGCATCACTGGCTGCGGTCAATACGCGGGTGGGGGATCACTTTGATCAGACTGTGAAGGGACCAAGAGTGCACGGTATTGGTCCTCATTAAACTGTTCTGCCTTAAAGTGCTCAATTTCACACCAGGTCGTTGGGCTACTAGAACAGGGGAGCCATCCCCTCTGCAGAGGATCAAAATTGCTATGGCATGCCTTCTGATCATCCTCAGTGATGTTTCACTGTCCGTCGCCAATAGTCCATTGTGCAGCTCTAGTATGACGTAAATAAAGTACCTACCATCCTCTTTTCATGGTTTTATAGATTGTTTGTGTTTAATTTATACTTCATAAAATGAAAACTAATTATATGAGCCCCATCTTCTTGAATAACCCTAGTATATATTTTCTTTTCATATAAACATGAAGCAAAAAAGGGATAGACTGAGATTCTTCTGTGGTACTATTTTGGTTAATTGTTAGTAGGAAAAGTTATATGAAAACTGTACTCCAATTTGAAAATTACTAAACATTGGGAAGTTTTAATTCGATGTTTTTACTTTTGAGTGTTGGTAAGATATTACTTTGTTATTAATAATCGTCTTTTTTTTTCCAATATAATTGGAGCTTATTTGTCAACAAGAAATATAATTTGTGCCAAAGGTTAGAAAAAATAAACAACTGTTCTGTCTGAAGATTTTGACAGTTTCTTTATACTTACTCTAGTTGAGTTATACTTGTTGAGAGTTTTTACTTTGACTTCTTGATAGTGGTTTTTACGTGTTATTCAATTTGTTTTTGTGACAATTGTGAACATTTTTAATTAACACCAAAACTATGTGTTCAACCTTAGTCTCGTATTTTAAAGTACCGATTTTTTTTTCTTAGTATACAATTGTAAGTTTCAAATTTGTATTAAAACTATCACTTTATTAATGCAGTAGGTAATGGTCTTATGTTTAAAAATAATGATGACTTTATTTTATAAATTTATGCAATGTTTTGAGTGCAAGTAAACTAATATGTTTTTGGCAACAGTTGTCAAAAAAAGAAATTCAAATTAGCATTAAACTTTGACTCAATGTAGTTGGCAGTGGGTCTTATTTATTACTTTTATAAATTAATGCAGTGTTTTTTGAGTGCAAGTAAATTAATGCAATGTTTTTTGAGTGCAAGTAAATTAATGCAGTGTTTGTGCACAAAATGAGTTTTTTCCATTATCATGAAGC